GTCTTCTGGTGATTGGCCCAAAGCCACCCAGTGGCTTTCAGGCCTAAGGGGAACTAGAACTCACTGTCTTCTGGTGATTGGCCCAAAGCCACCCAGTGGCTTTCAGGCCCAAGGTGGGACTAGAACTCACTGTCTTCTGGTGATTGGCCCAAAGCCACCCAGTGGCTTTCATGCCTAAGGGGGACTAGAACTCCCTGTCTCCTGGTGATTGGCCCAAAGTCACCCAGTGGCTTTCATGCCTAAGGGGAACTAGAACTCACTGTCTTCTGGTGATTGGCCCAAAGCCACCCAGTGGCTTTCAGGCCCAAGGTGGGACTAGAACTCACTGTCTTCTGGTGATTGGCCCAAAGCCACCCAGTGGCTTTCAGGCCCAAGGTGGGACTAGAACTCCCTGTCTCCTGGTTTCTAGCCTGGTGCCTTCGCCATGATACCAAACTGACTTTCAATATATATATTTCAATATACATTATTAAAATGACAAAACTTTGAGGAAGTTAATAGTTCTAAAACTTCTTCATATGTTTGGCTTCCTAATTCTCTGCAGTAACCCTATCTATTTAGACTTATTGAATTCTATCTGAGAATGCAGAACAGGAAGAGCTGTATTTATTTGTCATTAAATGTGTATGCTTCCTGACTCCTGACCATTTGCCAAATTTGGTAATAAAACCTTGAAAATATACATATAAATGTCTTCCTGGAAGTTCCATTTTTCCAGACTTCCTCCCCCCGCCTTCTCTTTCGCAGGGAATCATATCTGATTTGTTTCCTGGAATTGTCCTTCCGCAACCTGATTACGTCCTCTTCATCCAGGCATTGAATCAGAATATTGAGAAAATGAATCTTCAACCAGTTCCCTGGTTTATTGGGAAAATTATTCAGGTTTCTTTCAATTTTCTCTCCCTTTAAAAAAAAAATATTGCTAGCAAAGCAATGGGGTGGAGGTCAGGACCCACACTCCTAATCTAATCGAGTTAACAGAGCATCAGTCTTAGCAACTTTCAAGATGAATGGACTTCAACTCCCAGAATTCTCTAGCTAGCATGGAATTCTGGGAGTTGAAGTCCACCGATCTTAAAGTTGCCATGGTTGAGAAACAATGCTCTAAAAGACCAGTGGTGGGATTCATTTTTTTTTTACTACCAGTTCTGTGTGCATGGCTTGGTGGGTGTGGCATGACTTGGTGGGTGGGTCCTACTGGGCATGGCAGGGTAAGATTACTGCAAAATCCCTATTCCCTTCCAATCAGCTGGAATTCGGGAAGCAGAGAATAGATGGGGCGGGGGCAGCCAGAAGTGGTATTTACCAGTTCTCCGAACTACACAAAATTTCCACTACCGGTTCTCCAGAACTGCTCAGAACCTGCTGAAGATCACCTCTGTAAAAGACGTGTATCTAGAAATCTGAAACACTAATAGCAAGCATAAGCATATTATTGATATGATTTGGGAGTTGTAGGAAATCGATATAAAACTCTTGCTTAACATCAAACAGGTTCTTGCACAGTTAAAAACTCCCTGGATATCCTATCAAGGTTTAAAAACATCCTCTTCTTTTAATAACCCCATAATCCCTTGCCGGGTGGAGTCAAGGCAACTGAATGAAGCATTTGCTGGCCAGATGCCCTTCCTGGTGCCAATGCGGAGGTTTTTTTTGCAGCAGATAAATTCTCATTGTGCCCAGAGAGAGAGAAATATCTGCTCCTACCTAAGATCGAACTCCCAGCCTCCTGATCTCTAGGCCACCGCACCACTCATCAAGGTTTAAAATAATGCCTCTTATTTATTTCACCTTACAGATTTATGAGATGATGATGGTACGTCACGGCTTCATGATTGTGGGTGAACCAATGGGTGGCAAAACCTTTGCATATAAAGTGCTCGCTGCCGCTCTCGGTGATTTGAGCCACGGTGAGAGATCAAATGAATGACGCCCTGCTTTGCGTTCACACAGAAAATAAGATTCCCCTTGGGGAAACAGTTACAAAATGAAAAAGTCACACAATAACAACCCCTTCCATCACAAAATCGGACCGTATCATCACCTCCTTTTAATGACCCCCATAATCCCTTTGTGGGGTAGAGTCTGGGCAACTGAATGAAGCGGAGTAGTTTAGTGGCCAGATGCCCTTCCTGTCCCCAGCGCGGAGTTTTATTCAGCAGATGTAACCTCATTGTGCCCAGAGAGAGAAATATCTGCCTCTGCCTAGGATCGGAATCACAGCCTCCTGATGGTGAGGTGAGAGCTCCGCCTCTAGGCCACTGCACCACTCAAAATCAGATCGTATCTTCGGACCAAATTGGCCCTCTCATTACAAAGGAGCCCAAATCTGTTTTTTTTTTTTTTTTAAAAAGAAGGAAACAGAGGGTTAAAATAACCTGCGCCAATTAAACAGTTGCAGGAAATCCCTTCCCTTTGTGCTAAATAGGTTTTTCTCAACCTTGGCAACTTTAAGCTGTGTGGATTTAAAAGTCCCAGAATTCCCCAGCCAGCATGAGTTGGAAGTCCACCGATCTTGCTAAAGGGAAGGGAGTTTTTGCAACTGTTCTGGGAGTTGAAGTCCACTTATTTTAAAATTATCAAGGTTCAGAAACTCGGATTGAAAATGTGCTTCTCTCTTTCTCTTTCTCTCTCTTTCCCTCTCCCACTCTCCATCTCCCTCTTCCTTTCCCTCTCCCTTTCCCCCTCTCCCTTTCCCTTTCCCTCTCTCCCCCACTCTCCTGCTCTCTCTCGCTTTCCCTCTCTCCAACTCCCTCCCTCCTTCCCTCTCCCTTTCTCCCCTCCCTCTCCCTTTCTGTCTTTAGAACCATCAATGGAAGAGGTTGCCGTTGAATACAAAATTATCAACCCGAAAGCGATCACCATGGGGCAGCTGTATGGCTGTTTTGATCCCGTTAGCCACGAATGGACAGACGGCGTTCTTGCAAACACTTTCAGAGAGCAGGCCTCCTCCACCAACGAGGACAGAAAGTGGATTATTTTTGACGGGCCGGTTGATGCCGTTTGGATCGAAAACATGAATACCGTCTTAGACGATAACAAAAAGGTAATTGGCATCCCACCCCCCTGCCCCCCACACCCCAACGCTGACATAAGCCTCTAGATTGCATTATCTAATTCGGTTGAATGACTGAAAGGGCTTTTTAGAAGCCAATAAACTAATCTGATTTAAAGGAAAAAGCACTTAGTATGTGCTGGGTTGTTTTTTTTCAAATAGGTAATTAGGGTAACTTTTATGCTGTTTTCCCACTAAAACATCTCCCAGTTTATTAAATGGACTTTAAAAAATTGAAGGGAAATGTACACACACACACACACACACACACACACACACACACACACACACACACTGACAACATGCACACAAACAGACCCATATAGTCAGAAACTGCACTTCCGGTTATTGGCAAAGCCGAGCTATAGCAAGCAATGGGTTCGACTTACAACTACAATTGGGGATAGAATTTCCTTTGCTAAGCAAGGCAGTCACTATGGGAGGCACACCTGATTTTATGGCCCTTTTTGCCACAGTTGTTAAGCGAATCACAGCAGTTGTTAAACGTATCACGTGGTCGTTAAGCGAATCCAGCTCTCCCCATGGACTTTCCTTGTCA